ACCGAACCGCCGAAATCCAGTTTTAATATTAGGGAGAAGGGGGGGGACCTTTAATAATAGGGGGAACCGATTAGTGGCAACAGCAGCGGCAGTAGCAGGCGCAGCAGCGGTAGTGGGTCGCTTTAGTGTTGCGGTGGAGGTGGTGGTAGTGATGGTGGTGGTAGTTGTGGTAGCGGTTGGTAGTAGTAGTAGTAGTAGTAGTAGTAGTAGCTGTCGTAGATGTAGTTGTAGCTGTTGCACCAACAGCAGCGGCAGAAGAGACAGTCGCATTCATCACTTCTTGCCATTTTCAGGGTGCTTTGCTTGCATGCAATTGCAGACAAGAAAGCAACAGCGATTGAGCATCGATGATCGATGGAGAGCGAAAACTTCGACGGTGAACGAACCCTCTGCGTGCTGCCAGTGAGCCATTGACCAGCGATCAAGGCTTTGTCGACGAAGCTGGTCCTGGAGACTATCGCCTTTGCTGGTGCCTTCGTTGAGCAACTAAAGTAGGCTTCGCATCGGTGTAGCATGACGCAGCTAATCGTGGGTCGGCTTAGGGCTACCTGTCCAGAATTTGTACGCAGAGTGTTCATTATTATGTCTTTTTCTGGCATGACCCCAGATGACCCCAGGACTAGAACAGATTCAGGTGTCAGGGCAGTCGCCGGCCATGCTCTACACCAGAGGACCTCCACGTGTGTTCTCTCGTCTAAGCTTGACTACTTGAGTCCATGCGCTCGTGCGGCAGGACTTCAATTTCGATGTTGGCAAGCTGAACATCGCTTCTGCGCAGTACGTGGCCTTGCTCAGTTCCACAATGTGCTGCTCCCTGGTACAGGTCTGAGTGACTGCATGTTGAGGTCTGGCCGCTCTGCACCTTCGAGGTTGGAGTGCAACGGCAGAGCTGAGCCACGCAGCCCATTGCTTCCTTGCTCAGGAGACCGTCTTCAGAAGCTGGCGGGACCCGGCAGCTAACTGCTAGCTGCCAAACATTGCGTGCCATGCCTGAGCGACCATGGCAGGACTGGCAGACCTTCGACGACTGCTGCTGCAACTACGATGAAGCGGGCCGTGCTCTCAGAATTTTGGCCGCCAAAGCAAAGGCTGTTGCAAAGATGTGTTTCATATTCAGGTGCCGTTGGCTGCAAGGACTGCCCACGATCCAAGATTACTGTACACCTTTCTCAGAATGTTCAGTCTTCCACGACGTGGCTTCGGTCTTGATTGTGCCCTCCGGCAGGACGAAGCCTCGTACACCTACCAACTTTGTTCTGCCGGATACCCCAGTGACAAGCACAGTCGTGGCGAGTCTTCGGCGTATGCGCTACGCGAGGCATATCCGCTCCGATGACGCTCACAGGCCCTGTTCTGCCTCCAAGTTCGGCTCTTCAGACCGGAAGTGGATTCTTTTCCCAAGAAGGACGTGGCGAGGCGCGCTCGCCGATAAGGTTAAGTGAGCTTAGATTCATTCTCAGCTTAGCACCTCAAGACTCCGCTCGAGACTTGAGATGCTGCCGAAGCCCATTAAGAGATATGGCGCAGAATGCAGAGTGCGAGTTGTAAACCCAGGCCAGAGAGTGCAAAGCACCGTCGGTCGTTTGTGCTGCGCACCTGCAGTGTCTCCAGCATCGCTGACGAAGTCGCGTAGCCTCGGAACCTGTGTCGTGTTTTTCGGGTGTCTTTGACGGTTAATTTATCGGAAAAGCGACTCAGCTGCATGGCGGATTCTGGTTACTTACACAGACGGCTGGTTTTGAAGTCGCTTGTGCTGCTTCGAGGGTGGCTTAAGTATCAGGAAATAGCACATAGCTGAGTGCCCATCATGGCGGACAAATCGGAGAATCCGAT